TACTCTAAATCACTCTGGAAAACCAAATATGCAGTCGGTTACCTTGGACACAACACGCACTATACTACAGCTTTGCCCACTATGGTATACAATGAATCTAAATGTACCAGATAAACGAACAAAATGTAACCAGTTTCACCGTAGCCTAATTTACAAACTGCGCTCGAATTTCATACCGCGAGAAAAATTCATGATAGGTCAATTTGTATAAATAGTATGATGCTAGTTTGGTGGTGTCACCGGGATGTGTCTCTAGTGATTTCCACTTCGTCCTGACCTAATGATGCGCCAATGCAGCTGAGTGTGCTGCTATACCCGCCAGGAAGTCCTAACTTCAAAGTGGTTCTTACAATGCTCACAGCGTTTAGGTGTTTTTGTGCAATTCTGTAAGTAAACGAATTACAAGGACATGATCATTTGCGTAACCAGATGTGACTTCTCAAAACATCACGTTTTGAGAAAGGTAGGCCAAGTCACCAAACAACTCGGAGTACTCAATCAAGTAAAAACAGCTTCCCAGTGCTTCCAAGGTTTACACTACACGTTTTATTTGCTCTTTACACGTTCATGAAATACGTTCTGAATAAATACATAGTACTTTGACTAAGTAAATAGCCTTTGAACTGCCAACTAATGAGCGAGCATTGCGTAGGGTACGAGTGTAAACTTGACTGTAACTGATTGAAGAGATTAAGCTGAGAACCACTTTTTACAACGAATTGAATGAAGGATTTCGCGGTAAAAGTGTTTTATAAAAATAGAATCTCATATTAAAAATAAAGTATAGAATATCAATGTTTTTAAAACTTATGAAAAAATTGAATTCTTTCCTGTTTACTGTGTGTCTATACCGGAATATTTTGGCTTGATGATGGCTTGCGAAACCGCGTTAGCATTTCAATGCTACATTTACCATGTGAAGGGTAGAATGCGAATTTCAAACCAGGTTAATAACTACTCACTTAAAAAGCATTACCTGTGTGCAAAAGTGCAGGGAATAATCAATCGAACCTTGCCTGAATAAATGCCTATTTTTACATGGCACACGCAATTGGCAACCCTCTATACTGCAAGATTTAGTATACTCTGCATTACGATGATAACGGCTATCAATGTGGAACATCCTGCATAGCACTGTCACTTATCGTAACAATTCCGATTACATGCTTCCAGCTGCTGATAAACTTTGGCATTAAGCCTTTAGCAATCGATGGATCAAAAACCAATTGCTCTTTTTCATACTGCAAGTGGACTGAGTGACACCAGCCACTTTGTTACGTCCTTGATCTAAGCGAGTGAGATAAAGAAAAATGCTGATGACTCTGTTAAATTTATAAGCATTATCGTCATTTCACTTTTTTGATTGAAACCGAGTTGTTTTTCCCACGAAAGGCAAGTTATCCATATCAATCATTTTCAGGAACAGAAGTGTTGGTACAGAATACTTTTGCTGTTAACTGGCACACGTAAACAGGCAGCAATTGTATTTTCTCAACGACGAACCAAATCAGGTTGGAATGGTTTTGCACCAGTTTGGAGCAGTTCATGGTCTGGGGAAATTGTGCTTAAAAATAAATCTAGTGCAGTCAACTTTCAATCACTGTGTATTTTTCAGTGTTATCCGCTATTTCTTTCATCACGTAAAACGCCCTCGTCTCTTGTTTACTGCACGCAATATTTGTCAGGTTGATGAAGTTTTGCGCGATTAGTGCTTAGAATAATTAGTGCAAAGTAATCGAGTTGTCTGTCTGTCCATTTGTAAACGAAAAACGGAGCTTGTCTGCGCATTGTCTGTACTACTTCAGTTTAGTTCCATACTATATGTCCATCACAAAAAGAATACACCCAGATATGCAGCATTGTGAAACGTTTTGCATACAATTTATTGTACCTGAGTTTCACAAAAGTGAAGTCTCTTAAAACTTGCGAAGAGCGTAGCAGTTTTATTCCAGTATGACCGCAGATAGTTGCTTCAAAGATTCAGTGAGTTCACGACATTTGCATAAAGGACATCTAAGATGCATCTGATATAAGGTGTTAGTTCCACTGCAGACAGAAATGAGATTAACACAGTTAGCAAGCAACATGACTACCTGTTTACTCGTAGGACTGTGTGTGTTGGTGTGAACACACTGTTATAATGCTGACTGCATTTATTCGCAAATTCCTGCCGGAGAACGAAAAGAAAAGAACATCAAAAAATTGTTCAACTATACGGAATAGATATTTGCGTGTTTGTTTATGTGCAGAAGACGTATAATGATTTTGTGATATCGCGTCTCAGTAATGTCGAAATGTTCCCTTGGTGCCCAATTCTGGTTTCCAATAACACACTCGAGATGGAACTTTCTGACGTTTTCTATGGAGTTTCAGTCAAATACGGGAAACCTGATGAATGCCTATGAAAGCTTCACTTGTATTTGCACGTTTGGCAGATTCCTGCTTGACATCAACCATCTTAGCTTAGTGCGAAGGACATTCTTCCATGGGACCAATGTGGCACAACTGTAAACGCCAAGAATTGACTGCGTGTCGTATACGAAAACGGTGATTCGTTAGTATATATATATTTTGTTTCATCTCACATTGATTATTCGAAATCGGTTAAATCTCTATTCCCGATCGTCGTTTGAATGGGTTGCGCAACTTAGAGCCCTAATTTTTGTGTTCTCCATTCTTTTCACCACAGCCCTTGGCCACCGTACACACATCACTACAGCTACTACATTTTATTTGCTTGTCGTCTCATTTTACTTTTGGTAAGTTTCAAGAGCTTATTTATTTATTTTGTTGCCATTTTGTTTTGGTTTAGTTTATTTAATATTACTCTTCCTTCATTCATTTCATTAAAAATCTATGATTTTTGAAACAGTCTTATTTGGGCAGTTGCATCAAGGAACTTAAGTTCTCTCTGAATGTGATGTATCAGCCAAGGCAATTGTAGAAACGAAAAGATGATAACTCGCTCTCCTTTAAGCAAATGAATCAGTTTGCTAATTCTGGATAATATTACCCCGTTCGAAGCCTACTGACATTTGCTGATGTACAGATGTGGGTTGTGATTCGGTTCGGTAATCAAGCGGTCTGTGTTTGATAGACATGGGACATGGATGCTGCACTCATACTTCACAATTTCAGGCAATACACAAATATGCTTCATTATTTAATTCGGTTGCAACAGACCGCAGTGCTACAAATTCAAGAGTTTCATACCAAACTAGCGATTCAGGTTGTCATATCACCCACTATGTCAAATATTCGCATCTTAGGTTGAGTCAAATTGTGTCAAACTATTAGGATTGAAGACACGTTTTCTATCTTTATTCTTACTTTCTTCAAATTTGTGCTTCCTTTTTCGATCTCATCGCAAAAGCAGAAATGTTCAAATTGTTGTTTGGCAGATTTGAAGTTTGTGTAGCGATTACGAAAAGTTCAGTGACCTTGGTGGAATTCCAACCCACGCATGGACCCCGCTTTACCAGCTGAGCTATGAAGCCACACCGATAGCACTGATCTTTTCACATTCGAATTTCTCATCCAACGTTCAGAGGTAGGTGGCATTCACCATTCGAATGTGAAAACATCAGTGCTATCGGTGTGGCCTCGTAGCTCAGCCGGTAGAGCGTGCGCGTTTAAAGCGCAGGTGGCGTTCATACGTGGGCTAGAATTCCACCGAGGTTACTGAACTTTTCACAATCGCCATTAAAACATAATTCATTTTATCATGGGGGTCGGTTTACAGAAAACAAAAATTGCGTTTCGGATTGTTTGACATTCATTGGGCTTTATAAAAATTTGGGATTCCACTGGAAACGGTCACCTGCTCAATCCACTGATCATAAGAGATTGGTGTTTGATAAACAGGTGTTCAATGAATTCAACTTCTTTGTATATCCGATCTAAACGGAGTGGGGCACAACCAAGGAAGCAACTGAGGGATTTGTTTTTCAATTACTTTCGTATACGCCGCACCAACATGGACGCAGCGGACGACATAATATTTTGACGCAGTCGGCCATACAAAGGAGCATAAGGACCAATAATGCAAATTAAACTCAAATTCTCAAGTAGTTTCAGAGTGATGGAGAGCGGTTGGTACACCTTGGGCAAATGTGAACATAATGACTAACTGATCTGGTGGCATAGATGTCAAATGACAAAGTTGAGGTCCGGGTTTTCTTTGCAATCATGTGACACGAAGGTGGGCCTGATACAATATGAGGTGCTAAAATGGCAAAACCGCAGAGGAAAACGAACCCGAGTGTAAGAGAGCATTGTAACGGAATATACAACAGAAAACCTTTATCGGGATGGCAAAATTCAACTAAGTGAGTTCTTGGCCGATTCTCTTTCAGATGACCAACCTCTCTATTGACTTGCTCTAACAGAATCAGAATAGACTTGCCTATTATTTCTTAAAAATGGTAACGAGTTGATCTTAACCTATTTGCGAGCTCCTTCGTACATTACATTTGACACAGAAACCATTGCTAGACAATAAACTTAACAGCAAAACATACCAGGCAATGACATTAACGATGTTTGTTTAGTCGCAAACAACCAAATCATAGCAAGCACTTGAGATGGCTTACCCACATTCATTTGCTAAAGATTATTCAAATCGCCTGCTAATTTGGTTGAGTTACATTTATCTATATGGTACTTTAGGGTAACAGCTGTGGCTTACATTTTACCTGTTACCGGAGACAGTCTCCTCGTTGAGAAACTAACCCTAGTGGTTCAATAGTAATACCACGATGATTGATTTTCATTTCCGCCTCAAACCGAGCAAACCCGACGCTGCACTATTATGGCACACTGCCTTACTGGGTCACACAGCCGATGCCTACACGAAGCACGACTGGAAATGCTCTTTGACCAAACAGGGGTGTAAAAAATGCAGAGTTAGCTAGTCACGAAAAACACAGACAAGAGAATATGCAGCCTGTTTATTAACTACCAGAAGAGGTGGTTTAAGTGATTAAATGCATCTATTTTAAATGCGATTCGCCCCCCCCCCCAGATCAAACATTAACTGTTTTGTCTATTTTCGGCAAATTCAGTTTTCGTATTCAATTACTATCCAATTCTCTTTTGCATTTATCCGCTCTCCTTCTTAAAAGGGAAACCTATTTTTCCTGATCAACGTTTTACGCGTGTTCGTGAAAAGACTGCGAGCGACCGAAACGCCCGAAATGCAGCAATTAAAGTGAGTAACTCAAATGTATGCATGTATCATCATTTCTGAGTTTCCATCCTCTGTTGATCGAACAAGGGCATGTCAACTTCCGAATCACACGCATTTGCACTTACAAGTGAACCAGATATCGTATATTGTTGTCTTCAAAATGATACACTTGATCCCCTCATGTGGACCCTGTAACATTGAGCTCTGTACATGGGTATGTAAATCACAGGATAGCAAACGTTCTCCAGGGTTCCTGTTCTTATTTTGTATTCTCCAAACTTATTTGCAATTCCGTTGAAGTGTTTTATGTCCAATCTCATACTATTCCCATACAATAGTTGTGTGGTGTGATAAAATGTGCTTCAAGCGGTACGACTTGAACAATAATTCCAATGCCTCAGGAAAGTTTTATTCTCAATTACAGGAAAGCAACCAAAGCCGCATTCATGCTCATGCCTCTTTTGGGAATCGCGAATGCAGTTGTTCTCATAGAAGAGCCGATAAATCCGTGGGGAATGTTAGTTATCACTGGACTACAACGATTACTGCCCTGTTGGCAAGGATTGTTCGTGGCCGTGATCTACTGTTTCATGAACAGACAGGTTAGTGATATACATCGCGCTCACACATTTGAAGCTATGTCAAAGACATTTCAGAATCAAGATTAGTTACTTGTGCACTACTCGCGATACTTGAAAGTTACACTTTGTTTTCAAAATGAGGACTCTCAACTGAATGCAACTGGGATCGCACGGGTACCGCTTTTATTATCCACTGTGCTTTAGAGTATTGTATTGTATTGTATTTGTAACTTGTGTAAGCATATATGCTTACATTCCAGTTAAACATGTACGGTGTTCGTCAAGTGGAATGAAATACAAATAATAAAAACAAAAGGTAAAGAATGTCGGTGATATACGTTTCATGTACAAAGCATTTGACGTAGTTCATTTGATACCTATTCCTTTTTGGTAAGTAGTCGGGCCAGGTAGGGTACAGGGTAATTTTTATAAATGTTAATTCGAGAGGGTAGCTGTCGAAATGAGGAGCGTGTGGACGAATGGAAATGACAAGACGAAAGATCAGGGTGTAGTGGATGAAGAGGGTCATCGTGAATCCTGTGAGCAAATTTAAAACAAGAGTTGATGTGACCATCAGTGAGATCTGTAATTAATAAATCAATTGGGATTAATGATACACGACTGATTATCACCAAACCACGGCGAATTGTTTTGAAGTCGTGTTTTAAAAGACCGGGAAACACTACAGGAGAGCAATAAAGTAGAATGGGTAAAACGCATTGCTGAACGAAAGATGATAGGACTGATTGTGGGGTTCGGAATTGCCTGAGTTTGCGTAACTGAAAAGATAGGCGTCTCAGTTTCCCCACACAGTTGTAAATATGTGTAGACCAACGAAGATTATTGTCGATGGTGACACCCAGGTACTTCACTGAGGTCATTCTAGATATAGATTTATCGTTAAGGATAGCAGAGTCCGTTGGAAACGAGGAGCGGGAACGACTGAAAATATACTCTACGCACTAAGATACATTAAGACAGAGACCAGATTGGTCAGAAAACTGTTGTATGTGAGATAGGATTTCAGTAAAAGAATGAAAGTCACAGGGAGATGAAATTTTCTGAGACAAAACGTCACCAGCATACTTTTGGATGTGCGCAGCAGGTGGGACAAAAAAAAGCTATGGAGATAGAACAGCAACTTGAAGAACACCAGAATTATTAACAAGAGGTTTTATTGCCTTTCTTCCTAATTTGGTGCACTGGACCCTCTA